GATGAGGGCTGCTCCTGGGAGCGTGGCCGGAGCGAGAGCACCAGGTAGGAGCCCCGGCCTCCCCGCCTGCCCTGCTGAACCGTGGGGACCTAGAGCCTGGTCTTGCCACTTTCCCCTTGACCCCACCCCCGCCATGGCCCCCATTTCCTGTCTGTACTAGGTAAGGTCCCCTCTGGCTTCCACCTCCCACCCCGAGATGCAGCTTGCCGCAGTCCAGAGGGTTCGGGCCCTGGGCGCTGGAAAGCTGGGGCACCGGGCCCTGTTCTGAGCCTCTCTCCCTCCCCCAGCTGCTGTGAGTGTGGCCCCGGTCACTGCCTTGGGACTGACCCTTGTTTTTCTGCCTGCAGCATGTCAGGCAGCCTAGGCTCCGGCAGCTGGTATGGCGCCATCGGGCGGGAGCCAGCCTGGTGCGGGGGCAGCCAGACACGGACCACTCCTCTGCTCTTCTCCCAGGTGCTGGGACCAGGTGGCCACCACCACAGTCTCTACTCCACCCCGCAGACGTGATCCCCTTCTGTCCTCCCCCCAGAACACCCAGACCCCGGTCCTCCCATCCCAGGCCCCGCCACCCCCCCGTGCCAAGTTCACCTGCCGCTTCTTGCCCAGGATCATGGGAGGCTGTGGCCGCCTCTTCCCCTGGCCAGCTCCTTGCTACTCTTGTCGTAGTGAGCTTGTGCTGTCCCCTAGGATGGGGGGCATGGCCCTGGCTGCCAGATGCCCTACAGCACCTTGGCATGACCTGCCGCCTCTGCTTCTACACTGGAGCCAGCTACCTCTCCTGCACCTGCCGCTCAATAAACAGTGTCTGTGCCCCTCATCCGTTCACGGTCTGTCAGTTGTCTGCTTCGTGTTCCTTGCACCATCGCGTCTTCGGTCGAAGGCTGATCGGACCCCGGCCCTCCGAGGGAGCGGCTGGGCTGGGCAGGGGTCACTTAACCACCAAGGCTGGTGGGCAGGGAGAGGCAGGAGCCTGCAGTCTAAGGGGAAAGGAGGCCCGGAGAGCCTATTCCCTCTCCGGTCTGTTCCTCACTTGAACGATTTCTACTCTTTCCTCAAAACCTGCTTCAAATGTCATCTCCTTTATGAAGTCTTTCGTCTCCAGGTCAGGGAGCCATGTCCCCCCTCCTGGGTCCTGCGGCACGATGATCGTGTGTCTCATATGCCGGTTACCCTTGCTGCATTAGGATTTCTGGAAACCCCGTTTCCCTGTCATCCTGCCCAATCTGGCATTCAGGGCCAGGGAAGGACCTGGCCTGGGACTGAGGAGCCCCCACCTCCCTATCGGGTGTGGAAGTGGCCAGATAGTTGGGCCGCCCCCACATAGTCTGCCTGGTGGCCCTGGGGGCTCCTTCTCTGGCTGCCCCTAATACCGCAGTCACTGCTTCTGCTGCCACAGTCTTGGCCTATCCGTCATCTGCCCTATGGCTGGGACTCCTTTATCAGAGGGTCTCTCTCCTGTCCACGTACCTGGTCATCACACCTCCTCGTAGTTCCTGGGGGCCTAGTGCTGCTCCTGTCTGGAAACTTCACTTGGGATTATCCTGGGCATCAGATCTTCAGGGCCTCCAGAGAGGGCATCTGAGACTCCCAGTCAGCTCGAAGCTGAACAGTCCCTTTTTGTTGAAAGGAAACTAACATTTGTAGGGCACTTTATTGTGTGTGCCAGCCTCTGTTTTGAGCATTTACAAATACCTCTTTAATGCTCAGAACAGCACTCTGAGGTGATAATTAATCATCCCTTTTCCGTAAGTAGGGACTGGGAGGCTCTTGAGAACGTAGTGTAACCCGCTGCGCCCTCTCCTGGTAGGGGGTGGTCAGCCTTAGAGCCCAGGCTCAAAACCACCCACTGTGAGGGCTGAGGACCCCAGGCTAGAGGATTTGGGGAGAGATCGGGGTTTGCAAAGAAGTGGGTGAGAACCGAGAGGGGAGCAGTTCCAAGACCTGCCTGAACCCTGGGTGTTCAGGCTGCGAGGGGCGGGGGAGGAAGGGGGGAGTCCTGGCACTAGCCACGGAGGTGAGGACCAAGGGATGAGGGGGGACAGGAGGTGCCCCAGCATGACTTTCCAGAACCGGGTCCCAGTCCTCCCTCAGCCAATTCCAGGTTGTTTCAGTGGATCGCCCACCCCTTTGTCCCGCGGGGCCGCCTCCCTCGGGAGCGCTGAGCCCAAGG